CAGAAGACGTATGGTTCTTGCACTTGTGCAAGAATGGGGCGTCTTCTGCAGCAGTCCCTTTGATGGGAGGCCCCAGGTGGGGGGCCGCCTCGAACCCCTGGCCAGGGATTCGAGCGGAGGGTGCCCCGGATTCATCTATCCATAGGGCCCCGGTACATTCATTAGAACTGATCACTTTGCGCAGCAACCGTCGGCCGCCGCTTTTTAGCTGGACGGCAGTACGCTGCGCCGTCGCTCTGTCGTGCACGCTCTCGTGCTTCGTTGTGACCCACCCTGTCCCACCCGTGTGTGATCAGTGTCTACGGAGGGAGTGTCTTTGGCTCACGCCAGGGCGCTCGTTGCTCCTCCGTCTCTTTGTATCTTCCATACTGCAGTTATACGAGCGTCATCTTGTAGTGAACAGGCCGAGTTCGCGGTTTGAGCGCCCAGCGCAGACCGACCGACCGCAGGGGGGGTTCGGTCGACGGCCGCGGAAGACCGCAGACCGGAGGGGGGGTCCGGTCGGTCGGAGCGCAGACCGAGGGGGGGATCGGTCGGGTTGGCTCGAGGGTCACAACACACCGCACACGCTCGCCGCAGCTGTGAATAAATTAGTATCTCGAAATAAGAGACCAAGCGCCCTCTCCCCGTCTAATCACTCCTCGTCGTCCGAGTGGCTGAGCTCGAGACCGAGACGCTCAGGATTGGGTCGGAACACGAGCTTGTCCATGTCCACACTCTGGTCGTCGTCGTCCATACGATTAATTATAGCTTCGCCGGCGACACACTGTACCCGTTGACGAGCCGCTTGAGCGCGGCCAGAGCTTAGGATCTCGCCGACCCCCTTCCCGAACCCACCGAACGTCTCGAACAGCAGCAGCTCTGGCCCACGTCGACGTTGTGGAAACAATGATAGCGTCATTGGTTTGCGAGACGCATGGCGGAACCGTGGGGAGAGTGTGAGCAGTGTACACCTGCTTGCGAGGGTACAACGGCCCCCACGCCGGGATGCTACAAGAATGTGCCCGTCCCCACAGCCACAGAGGCGTTGGGCATGGGAGACAAGGCGCTCGGAAGACGGAAGCCTTCCCAACTCTGACTGTTGATGACAAGAGTTGTCTCGGCTTTTTATAGAGCCGTACTCGCTGGAGCCGTCCCGAGCTGCAGGAGGGCCCGGCCCCCCCGGGCCCCGGCGCACAACCCACCTGTCCGCAACAGCCAACACCGCACAGTCCCAGCCTCTCCGCACCCGCCGTACCCCCGCGTACTCTCTCGACAAGCAAGCGCTCTGGAGCTTTTAAAGAACTGCGTGTCGGTGAGAAACCAGTGTGTAGAGACCCCCACGCGCGCCGATCTCTCCTGACTGTGACTCCTCAATGCCGTCAAAGGTGTGCAACAGACGTGAACTATGTCAATCCTCCGCCACCTCCACCTCTGGCGGATTCACCGCGCTGAGCTCCTGGTAGGCGCCCTCGCGCACGGTCCTCTTCGGCGAGAGGACCTCGACGAGCATGATTGCGCTCGTGTGCACCAGCAGCACGAGCGCCATCGCCGTGCACGCCTACCGGGCGGCGTGAATCTTAGACGCGCTGTGTTGGCGCCTCATATGAGTGCAAGGCAACTCTACTGGCTGCTGCGCGGCTGAATACTAAAAGAACATGCACACGTGTTCAGCATCTAGGGGTGCAAGCCCACGGGAAAGTGAAACGCGAAGTGAGCGCGGTGCCGATGACCGGACCGACCATCTGGCGGTAGGGAGAACGAGGAACGGGAGGAGGGGGGGGGGGGTCTTCTGCTTGTTCGGGTTTTGTGTGGTGTGTCTTGGGCTGGCTGGTTCCGGTCTTTTGCCGCTGGTGGTCTGGGGGGTTTGTTGGGGGGGCTTGGTGTGGGTCGGGCCCCCGTAGCGTTCTGGGACGGGCTCTGGCTTGTGTGCGGTCTTTTCTGGGCCTTGTTCACTTGCTGCGTACTCTAGGGTTGTAGGATGTGTGGTATTAACGGGTGTATTGGGCTTGGACCTGGCTCGCTTGTTGTGTGGTGGTTTCTCTGTGCTACCGTTTTCGTTTTTTGCGGCCGTAGTCGGTTGTAATCGTGTGTCTTC